TTCCCAGTAAACAACTGGCTCTACCAGTCCCTGCACAAACTCCCTGTCTCTCCCTCTTTCGCAAGGATTCTTCGTCTGTGTCTAACGTTTTCTATAATTCTCTGTTGACTACTGCGATCTCTTTGTGTTTTCTGTTCTTCATGTTGTTCTCGTTCTCTACTCTTTAGCAATTTCTCGACTTCTCTCTCGTTTCAATATAACCTCTCATCCATCTTTTCTCTTTATTTCTTCTTCTTTCCTGAATTCAACAAACCTTTTTGAAATTTGTTTTCATCTCTCTCTCTCAATACTATCATCTGTACTTGGTGTTTTCCCATTTGCACTTTCTGCCGATCGGGGCGGAGTTGCAGACTTGCTATGCTTGGAAATATTTGAGGGGACGAAGCAAAAGCATAATAACACGAAAGCTTGATTGAACTTCATATAAAAACTACAAATAGTCTCGATTTGCCTTTGAGAAGCCTAAAAGTTGGCAAAAACAAATTATGTGAGGCGAGAAGGGATAAAAGCTTCAAATAAAAGTCGTAAACAGATGATTTTATATGAAAAGTTGTTTTTGATAGAATAAAATGAGTTCGTTCCTTTTCAGATGGAAGATGATTGTCCACAAGGAGGTGATGACGTTCGTCTCTGTCTTTTAAAGACTCTTGGAGCTCATAATCAACGTCAAGTCCCATGTATAGCTTGTCACAAAGATATAATAGTCAGTTTGAGATCAGAAGTCATATTACTTAAACGAGAAATTGAAGGTGTACGATAAGTATCCGTTAATTGATGGAACGTTCTTTCTTTCACCAGTTCTACATCATGGTCCTCCAATTGAGGTGAGCAATCGATGAACCAATGATCTGTCCACACATATGATACTCATAGGTAATGTATGAAGGGAGAAAACAGTATTTACAACAAATATGTGTCTCTTGCTTATGGTCTGATTGGAAATGTAATAATTGTGGTAGAGGTACGTAATGATATTATATATCTTTAACTGTATTATTAATAATAGATGGATGGTTCAATGGTAGAGCACTCATTCTCGGAACTTTATATTACTATGATATCAGTATGCTTATTCGTTTACATTTTATTTTAAATTGTATTTCTTCAGTTTCTGCTGGAAAATGCTGTCCTCCAACATGCACGGTATGTCGAAGCCCACTGCTGATACCGGAAAATGTTGTGATGCAGATAGTCAATGTGAGATAATTTGATCCGAAACGAGTATTATCACATCTCTTTCTCTATGTTCCCTCCTCTCTCAAAATACAATAGGTTACCTTTTAAATCAAATACTTTGAAGTTTTTAGATGAGGGGAAGCTTATAAAAAAAAAGTTTTTATTTTATTGAAAAGAGTAGAAAGTGAATGAGGTCAAGCGGTCACTGAAAGCCAAAACAAGCGAAAAGTGTGTTGTTTTGGAGATGAATGAATGGCTTTTCTGAGTTTTCTATGTCAGCAAGAGTGAAAGTCAACAACAAAACATTTCGATGGAAAAAGAAGAGGGAGTTTTGGTTGAAAAAGGGCGACTAACTCACCCCAAAACTCCCTTTTTAATCCCCCTCTCTATCATTATTATAAAATATAACATTTTCAGGGAAATTATTCATTAATGAATGAGTTAGTTACATGTTCTTCATGTGGCTGTAAAGAACTTCATTGTATTAGAGATACAGCCGATGTCACTATAGCTGCTCGATAGAGAAAGCACACTCTGCGTACTTCACGTCTTTTCGTGAATCTCACGTTACTTGCACTTATTCAAACTTAATTGGTGATGATGAGTTACAGTAGTATTCCACGTGTTCCATAGCTTCACAGGTTAATTCTTAAACGAAATCTTAAATCTTCAAAAGATTTTTATTATTATTTTGGTGAAAATTATGCCTTGTAAGTATCTCATTAAGCAAAATGATCATATTTTGCCATATTTGTACAGTATTCCTTTCTCTCTATCTCTCTATATATATATACACACAAACGAAGAAGTGTTAGTCTGATTATCACGCTATCTAGGATCTTTAGAGAGAAAGTGTTTTCTCTTCCACATAACTCTTTCTAGAAATGATTTTCTCTTTTTACTTGTTGTTATTTTTTAGTTACATTCCTTTAATTGAGAATTATTCATATGTCGATGGTCATTATAGAATATCATTCGGAAATATATGAAAACGGTTCACAGAAACTTATATGATCTGGTACTCAAAGATAATTCTTTATGAAAACGTTTGTTTATATGTAAGAAAGCAGTAGTCGTTGAGTTTGTCCATATTAGGTAACATCATTCATCTCATGTTAACTTATTTATTTCGTTTTTTATTAGAAATGTTTGTTCGTGTTCCTACACTGTAACCATTCCTATTTCTATGTTGTAAATTTATTCAAAAACTTATCTGTTAGAACCAAACGAACTGATTAAGCTTAGAGCTTTAACCTTTGCTAGTTCTACCTCATTTGGCTTTGTTTCCTTACATCTCATCTCTCATTAGTGTCTTCAATACATATACTGTTTGTAAAATAAACCTTTATGAAGCAATCATGTGTTCACTAACCGCTATTATCATAGATAACAGCTTGTTTCTCATATTTTCTATCAAAAAAAGGTTCAGAGCATAACCATATATATGCTCTTTAGGAGATCAATCCAGAAACCTGTCACCGACAGGTGAGTTTTCTAATGCAGCAGCCCGTTTTCTCTCATTTCTCTAGCCCAACGTAATCTTGGCCACAAAAATACTTCGTTTTCCGTTCATAGTTTTGTATCATTTTCCTTCAGTTTGAGTAACACCTATCCAATCAATTTTTCAATAACTTGGCCGTTATGTCTTTGCAGGATTTGTAGTTTTTAGTTTGAGGGGACGTAATAAAATAATTGATATTATAACTACTGCATGCATAGAGTACCTTTTGTTCTTTTGAATATTTGAAGAAACCGGGAACCTACGGCCTTCTAAACAAGAGAGAGAGAGAGAGAGATGCAGCTCAGGGTACGCCAATGGTGTTGCTGTTCCAAAATTTTCATGATCAACCTCCTGTTGCTCTATCAATTTTTTTATTTCAATGAACTGTTTCAAGTTCATCTTTTGTGTGATATGATCTGGTTGCAATATAATTTTGATAAGTTCAATACAGTTGGTCAAGTCTTCATATCAGCTAAAGGAAACCAGGAATTGAACTTATCTCGATATCCATACCACTTGACAAATATTTCTTCTATTCTTCTCCCAGTTCTACGTTTTATCACTTCTTCGATTTTATATTCTTCATGGACAGTATTATACAGAGTAAAACAGACGAAAAAGATGCAGTCTTATGATAGGAAAGAGTATTATAACTCAATTTTTCGAAGTTTCTTTAAAAAATGAGAAAATATACATCATCAATCACCACAAAATCTACTGAATAGTATTAAATAAGTTTTTTCATTTCTTTTCAGAGATTTTCTCCATATTAACGTGTAATTGTTGGTAAGTATTTTTTTTATCTTTACTTTGCTCAGAAATTCTATTTCCTGTCTTTCGTGTGACCAATTTTATTTTGTTATATCTTTTCTCTCTTCTAAGTTGCGCATGCGACGCGAACGCGTGGTAGGATAGTGAGAGTGACGCGTGAAACTGCCAATATCGCAGCGTCCTATATTTGTGTTTGTATTAGTTGTTTTACTTCAAGATTCTTAACAAACTTTTATATATTAGATCATCAGAATTGTTGGTAATGCAGTTATTCATCGAGTTACATGACAACGATAATCTTGTACACGAATATTTCAAATATGAATTTGACAGTGAGGTATTCATTTTTGTAAAGTAAGCATATATTAAAGGTGGTCTTCTAGACTAAGTTGGAACATTTGGAAAGGGAAATCTATTCGGTGTGGAAGATCGACTATCATTTTCAAAAAATGTTTTTCGAAAGCGGGAATAACCTCATTGGACTAAGTGAAAATAGCCTACAATCTTTCGGAGTGACACATGGCAGTAAAATTATAGTGGTCAGTTTTCAAATTAAGAGAAACATCAAAGTATTTATATGTTTCCCGGATATCGATTATACTTGCTATCTAAAATCTTGAATTTAATGCATTTATAATGACCCAAGTATAGTAGATGTAGAGGAGGGCAAACTTACAAAAATGTTTTTGAATCAAAAAAAGTTTCAGAAGCATTCTGAAGTTTCACGATGGGTTCAATATCGGGATTGTGTTGAGAATGTCAGAAAAAGGCTGGCACCTGATGTTGATACTGCCCACAGAGCTGTCCAACACCATGAGATTTTGATTTTGAGTCATTTTTTCGACGCGTACGTTGCTTTTGAGGACTACCGCCGAAAGCATCAACCTGAGGTTGCACGGGCGGACGGCGTTGTCGAGTTAATGGCTAATGCTGCGGAGAATCATTTTTTGATCCAACACGGAATGCGCGGAGGTACAACAGAAGATGGGTTTAAGTATGAATGGAACCCGAGATCAGACGATATGCGTGGTACACGGAACGGCATAATTGCTCACGTCCAGCTTCATGGAGAGGAGCATCCGACGAAATATTCTGTGAAGTGTCATCACTACGGCTCCACCGCGTTTTCTTCCAAAGGTTATTCTCCGGATATTCTTGAACTCTTTTCATACAAGATTCTGGAACTTCTTAATGTTGGACCAGCAGTTCAGTTTATTCTTCCTTCTTCAAGCACAGGAGGGAAGACATCCACGTAAGTACAAATATTTCAATTTCAGCTATTTTAAACGAAATCGTAGAGCTTTGTTTAGTTTAGTTTTTAAGTTTAGGTACATTGCTTCAATCTGGCGAGATGATTTCATCCGCCAATCTGACCTTTCCGATAAGAATGACTTCAGTATAAAAGCACTCATCCAACTACGGTTGTTAAATGTGCTGTTTTTCATCGGCGATCTTCATGGAGATAACTGTGGTAAGCCATTTTATTACAAAAACATTATTAAAATAAATCCTGCTTACCAAAAGCATATATATAATTTTCAGGTCAGTGGAAGTCAACAGATAGAGCTGCCGTCGTTGATTTGATCCCGCTACCGTATGCCACTTATCCAGATGTTAAAAGAGCGGTACGTAGTCCTATCAAACTACCTTGGGATGACGTGCCTCGAAAGTTGCTTTTGGAGTACAATGAAGAAAAATTTTGGGATCTAGCCAGAGAATCTTTGGGTGATTGGAATGTCTTGGAAAACATAAAGCTAGCAAATGAGTTGATCGTGAAAGAGAAAAGTCTGATGAAAAAGTTAGAAATTGATTTTCGAGGTATAGATAGCGAATCTAACTATACGGTGACAAATGACCTGGAGAATCACATGGATGCTATAAAGGCCAATATAGAAAAACTCTCAAATGAATTGGGTTAGTCAATAGTTCTGCTTTTTTCGTATATTGTTGTTGTATTTGTTGTCTTTCAATGCTTTCAAGCTGAAGATGTTGTTCGTTTTCAAAGATTTTTATTATACTGTTCTGCTGATTGAATTGGCAGATCAAATGATCATTATCATTGTTAAGATTCTCAAATAAAACACTTCAAATCACATATGGCAGCAATAACTACAACTAGCGTCAAAGATTGTGATATCCACCATCCTCTGGTATATGACGTCCTGCACACCAAAATCTCTATCCCTAAACTGCTTGAATAGTATTGTTGCTAGTTTCCCATTGTCCCTTTTTTAAATTTAAATTTAAAACTTTTGATGAATTCACAATAAATATTCATACTTTCCGCTTGCAAATAGTTGCTTAGAAGAGGAAAGATAACGTCAGTTTGAAGTTGTTTGATAAATAATACAGAATAGGATTCAATCGTGCTCCAGCTAGTGAAGTGAATAACGTGTCGGGACCACATACGGTTCACCGTATAATTATTTT